ATAAATATATATTTTTTCACTTTCACATCCAAACTCTTACACTTAGAATATTTCCCTAATGTCTCCCTCTTCCAAATTCATTGAGATAATACCTCTTTATCCTTATTACTAACCTGAGATACTACTTGACCATCAGTTTCCAAGTTATTTTTAAAGCCTCCGTTCTGAGGTCCCATAGCATCCACTGTTCATACCTTTGCTACTACTTGATAGCTCTATTGTGATTCCCTGTTTACCTGGAAGTCTCCTCTTTATCACTAAATTCTAAGTGTAGAAATTCTGTCTTCTTTTAAAAAATATGTGCAAAATTTATCATATAATGTTCAATGCATGATCTCTTTCAGTGCACATAAGTCAGAACTAAGTCATAGCTAATTCTCCATAGTTTCTAAAGCTCTAAATGGCAGAGGCTGAAAATTGATGGGGGATTCAAACTTACAAAGGACAGCAATGGGGATAACGGAGCAATATCCTATGGACCATGTGCCACCAGAGATGCTTCTCAATAGTCTTCATGTTGTTGTTCGTAGGTGCCATTGAGTGCAACTCATAGTTACCCTATCAACAACAGACCTGAACCCAGGCCTATCCAATACCACTGTCCTCATCATCTCTGACACACTTGAGTCCACTGCTACAGTCACTGTGTCAGTCCATCTCACTGGGGCCGTGTTCTCTTTGGATGGCTCTCCATCTATAAAAGCACCATGTCCCTTTCCAAGGAAGAGCCTCTCCTAACAACATATGTAAAGTGTGATAAAAGGAGCTTTGCCATCTTTACCACCTAGGAGAACTCTGGCTGCCCTTTTCCCAGACATATCTGTTTGTTCCTTTGGCCGCCCGTGGAATACTCAATACTCCTCTCCAGCACCACAACTCAAAGGCATCAATTCTTCTTCTGTCATCTTTCTTCATTATCTACTTCTCATAGGTGTAGCAGGTGATTGAAAATACTATGGACTGAATCAGATGCACCTTAGTCTTCATGATGACATCACTACTCTTAACTATTTTCAAGAGGTTCTGACAGTAGACTTTCCCCAATCCAATATGTCTCCTGATCTCCTGAATGGAGACAAAGGTGTTGATTTTGCAGTTTTTATTTGCCTTTTTTTAATTTAGAGAATACATTATTAGTTTCTGTAATCAAACCCATGTAAATAAAATTATATTGATTGTTGATCCAAACCAAGGATTGACAGCTTCAATCCTTTCTCCTGTATCATAATGTTGAGTGTTGGCCCTGTAGAGAAAACCTTTGTTTTCTTGATGTTGAGATATAGTCCATACCAAAGTCTGTATTTTTGATGTGCTGAAAGCGTTTCAAGTCCTCCTCACTTTCAGCAAGCAAGGTAGTGTCATTTGTATAACTGGTTATTGATGACTCTTCCCCTAATTTTGATGTCATATTCCTCTTCATAGAGTCCAGGTTTATTTATTAATTGCACAGTATATATACTGGATGTTGTTGTTGTTGTTGTTATGTGCCGTCGAATTGTTTTTGACTCATAGCGACCCTATGCACAACAGCCCTAAACCCTGCTCTATCCTGCGCCAACCGCACTGCCTCCAACACACCCATCCCGATTACCCCAGTCACCGAATCAATCCATCTCATAGAGGGTCTTCCCCTCCTGCGCTGGCCCTCCACCCTCCCAAGCATGATG